AAATGTTAACACAGAGTGGTCTTGAACTCCTGGGCTCAAATGATCCTCCTGCTCAACCTTCTGAGTAGCTGGGACTCTAGGCATACCTCACTGTGCTTGGCTGTTCACATTTACTCAGGGCCTGGGCACTGTCCCTGATTTTTTTTTTTTTGCTCAAGGTTAATACCCTACCATTTGAGCCATAGCTCCACTTCCAACTTTTTGATGGTTAATTGGAAATAAGAGGCTCATGGATTTTCCTCCTTCAGTTGGCTTTGAACTGCTATCCTCAGATTCTTAGCCTCCTGAATAGCTAGGATTATAGGGTTTCCTTTTTGCAGTGCAGGGATGGAGCCCTGGGTCATGCACATGCAAGTGCTATAGCACCAGCCTGAGCATGTGGCATACTACATAGGCAGCTATGTCATGTTTCAGTGGTTTTAATTCCAGAATGATTATTGCCCTCAGCTCTTTTTTGTTAACCTAAGTCTTTCACAGGGCTAAGATTAAAGGAAAAGAAAAGACCCTCAATGTGTGGCCATGCCAGGGCTGTGGTTTAGATCATCACCTAACCCCTCTCCTGGTTTGGTTGGAATACTCCTCTAGTGCATCTTGAACTCTTTTGGCTCCTTGCTATCAACTTCTTCTTTATTCGTCTTCTTGCTTCTGCTTCTGCTTCTTCTCCTTCTCTTCCTCCTCCACCCTCCCTCCCCCCTCCTCATCTTTCTCCTCCTTCTTCCTTGTCCTGGTCCTAGGGCCTGATCTCAGGGCATGGGTGGTGTTGTCCCTGAGCTTATTTTTTTCTTTTTTGTTCAGTCCTTGAGCTCTTCAGCTCAAGGTGAGCGCTCTACCACTTGAACCACAGCACCACTTCTGGTTTTCTGGTGGTTTATTGGAGATAAGAGTCTCAGGGACTTTCCTTCCCTGGGCTGGCTTTGAACCCCGATCCTCAGATCTCAGCCTCCTGAGTAGCTAGGATTACAGGCGTGAGCCACCTGCACCCGGCTTTCCCTGAGCTTCTTGCTCAAGGCTAGCACTCTACCACTTGAACTTCCGTCTCTTCTGCTCAGGCTGGCTTCTAACCAATAGCTAGGATTGCAGGCATGAGCCACCAGCGCGCCCAGCTTTTTTGTTTGTTTGTTTTTCTCTGATGCTAACGCTTGAACTTGCAGACTTACACTCTCATTTGGCTTTTTCTGCTGAAGGCTGGTGCTCTACCATGTGAGCCACACCTTTACTACTAGCTCCTTGCCATTAGACAGCAAGGAAAGCAGTATCTCTCTGGCCTGGGACCCCTGTCCACCTGTTTCATTCCACAGGAGGAAGACAATGTGTGGCACCCTAGATTACCTGCCCCCGGAAATGATTGAAGGGCGCACGCACAACGAGAAGGTGGATCTGTGGTGCATTGGGGTGCTCTGCTATGAACTTCTGGTGGGGAACCCCCCCTTTGAGAGCGCCTCCCACAACGAAACATACCGTCGGATTGTCAAGGTGGGAGGAAGCTGGGATTTCCTGGGCTGCATGGCTGAGGGTGGGCAGGGTGGATCTGCAGGGCCTAGTTGAACTCTCTCCATAGAATGGGTGGTCAAGCCAGATGCTGGTGGCTCATGCCTGTAATCTTAGCTACTCAGGGGGCTGAGATCTGAGAATCAGGTTTCAAAGCCATCTGGGGCAGGAAAGTCTGTGAGACTCTCATCTCCAGTGAACCACCAGAAAACCAGAAGTGGTGCTGTGGCTCAAAGTGGTAAGAGTGCTCGCCTTGAACAAAAGAGCTCAGGGACAGGGCCCAGGCCCTCAGTTCAAGCCCCAGAACCGACAAAACACACACACACACACAAACACACGGGTGATGAAGGTTGACATACACTCAGCAGTCCTTCCCTCTCTCTCCACACCTGCAGGTGGACCTGAAGTTTCCCCCCTCGGTGCCCTTGGGGGCCCAGGACCTCATCTCCAAACTGCTCAAGCATAACCCCTCTGATCGGCTGCCGCTAGCCCAGGTCTCCGCTCACCCTTGGGTCCGGGCCCACTCTCGGAGGGTGCTGCCTCCCTCTGTCCCTCAGCCTGTCTCCTGATTGTCCCTGTCATAGACTCCAGTGGCATCTGTATATCTGTGTATATGTAAGGAGGAAGGGGGTTTATCTGTTTTTCTGTTTTCTGTATCCTTTTTATTTAATAAAGGCTATAGCTTTTTGTATTGATGTGGGTATTTCTACATAAAATCTTTGTCCTCTATCCCCTAGGAGAAGGGTGTCCTATCTTAAGAGGTGGAATGGCTCCAACCACGCATTTTCTTTTTTTATCGGTCATAGGGCTTGAACTCTGGGCCTGAGCACTGTCCATGAGCTCTTTCAGTTCAAGGTGAGAGCTCTACCACTTGAGCCACTGCACCATTTCTGGTTTCCTGGTGATTTCTTGGAGATAAGAGTTTCATGGCCTTGGGGCTGGGAAGGTGGCTCAGTGGTAGAGCGCTTGCCTTGCATGCATGAGGCCCTGGGTTCGATTCCTCAGCACCACATAAGCAGGAAAAAACGCCGGAAGTGGTACTGTGGCCCAAGTGGTAGAGTGCTAGCCTTGAGCTGAAGAGCTGAGGGACAGCGCCCAGGCCCACAGTTCAGGCCCCATGACCCCCCCTCCAAAAAAAAAAAAAGTTTCATGGCCTTTCCTGCCCAGGCTGGTTTTGAGCCGTGATCCTCAGATTTCAGCCTCCTGAGTAGTTAGGATTACAGGCATGAGCCACTGGCGCCCAGCCAACCATCCATTTTCTTGTCCCTGTTTTGACTCCCAGAACCTGGAGGTGTTTAGCACCCATTCCTCTACTTTCCATCAGTAGCCATGTCTATCTGCCTTCTCCTGAGTTCTAGTCTTCCTTTTCCTGGCTCATTCTCTGCGTCTTAGCCAACCTAATAAAAACAGTTCATGGCTGTAGCCCAAAGTTGTCCCTTTTTTGGGGGGGTTGGGTATGAAGAGGCTGAGTACTAGGTTTGAATTCAGGGCTTTATGCTTGCTGGGCATGCGCTTGCTCCCAGCCTTCTTTTGTACTTGTTTTGTTCTTGTGCTGGTACTAAGGCTTGAACTCAGGTTTTTATACTCTCCCTTAGTTTTTCACTCAAGACTGGCATTCTTATCATTGAGCCACACCTCCACTTCTGGCTTTTGATTGGTTATTTGGGGATAAGAGTCTCTTAGATTTGTCTGACAGAGCTGGCATTGAACTGGGATCCTTAGATCTCACTATCCTGAATAACTAGGTTTACAGGCATGAACCACTAGTGCTTAGTGTTTTTTTTGTTTGTTTGAGCCATGATCCTCCCCATCTCAGCCTTCTGTGTAGCTAGGAATACAAGCATAATAATCACACCTGGCTTTAAAATGGTCTCCCACCTCCCTCCCCGCCCCCCTTCGTGGTCAGATTTAGTATAGGAGTGAATAGAAGTTATAGATGGTTTCATTCTCAAGTAGGGTGCTTTTCATAGATGCTTTTGTCTGAGGGGGCTGGCATATTAACCACTGAGTTCCAGTCATTGCCATAAGTTTGGTTTTTGCTTGCTTCTGAGACATGGGTCTATGTATTCCAGGCTGGTTTTGACTTGATATCCCCCTGCCTCATCCTTCCTAGTAGTAGGTTTACAAGCATGCCCCCTGGATGTCTAGCGTATTGAGATAGTCTCTAAGTAACTATGCCCAGGCTGGCCTTGAACCCCACAAGCTCTACATCCCTAGTAGCTGGAATTACAGGTATTTGCCACCATTCCAGCTTATATAAATATTTGATATCATTTTTCTGGAACAAAGTTTATTTTAGTCCTATTTTACTAATATCTTTTTTTTTTTTTGTCAGTCATGGGGCTTGAACTCTGGACTTGGGTGCTGTCCCTGTGCTCTTCAGCTCAAGGAGAGCACTCTACCACTTAAGGCACAGTGCTACTTCCGGTTTTCTAGTGGTTTATTGGAGATAAGAGTCTTACTGAGCCGAGCGCTGGTGGCTGAAGCCTGTAATCCTAGCTACCCAGGAGGCTTAGATCTGAGGATCCCGGTTCAAAGCCAGCCCAGGCAGGAAAGACGGCGAGACTCCTATCTCCAATAAACCACCAGAAAACTGGAAGTGGCACTGTAGTTCAAGTGGTCAGTGCCCAGGGCCAGAGTTCAAGCCCCATGACCGACCAAAAAAAAGAAAAAGAAAAATTCATGAGATTCTTATCTCTAATTAACTGCCAAAAAGCCAAAAGTGAAAGTATGGTTCGACTGGTAGAGCAGCAATTTTTTTTTATTGGTCATGGGGGCTGAACTCTGGGCCTGGGCGCTGTCCCTTAGCTCTTCAGCTCAAGGCTAGTGCTCTACCACTTGAGCCACAGCACCACCTTCTCGGCTTTTTCTGCTTATGTGGTGCTGAGGAATCAAACCCAGGGCCTCATGCATGCAAGGCAAGTGCTCTACCACTGAGCCACCTTCCCAGCCCCCCCCCTTTTTTTTCCTTTTTGGTGCAAGGATTTGACTGAGCTACTACCCACCCTTTTCATTTTAGTTTTAAAACTATGACCATTAGGCCTAGGCTGGAAAGGTAGCTCAGTGGTAGAGTGTTTGCTTTGCATGCATGAAGCCCTGGGCTCCATTACTTAGCACCACATAAGCAAAAAAAGCCAGAAATGGCGCTGTGGTTCAAGTTGTAGAGCGCGCACCTTGCTGAGGGACAGCACCCAGGCCCAGAGTTCAGGCCCCATGACTAACAAAAAATAAAAATAAAAGGGGCTGGGGAGGTGGCTCAGTGGTAGAGTGCTTGCCTTGCATGCATGAGGCCCTGGGTTCAATTCCTCAGCACCACATAAACAAAAAAAGCCGGAAGTAGGCACTGTGGCTCAAGTGGTAGAGCACTAACCTTGAACTGAAGAGCTGAGGGACAGCGCCCAGGCTCAGGGTTCAAGCCCATGACCAACAAAAAATAAATTTAAAAAAAATGTATGTATGTGTATATGTATAAGTATATATAACCATTAGGCAGTGGTGCTCACTAGATGCTATGTTGAAATGAACTATACAACTTGTAGGTGGGGACGGGAGGGGAATACTGGGAGAAAGCAAAGGAAGGGGTATCATTGTCCCCCTAAAAATGTACTCTACCTGACTTATGTTACTGACCCCTCTGTACATAACCTTTATAGTAACAATAAAAATTTATGACCATTAGCAAATTTGAAATTCTGTATGTGGGTACATGTTGAATTGAAAACCCTTTGTACAACTATTTAAAGATAATTTAAAAGTTTAAAAAGAAAAAAAGCCAAGTGTGTGTGGAGCGCTGGTAGCTTACACCTGTAATCTAGTGACTCAGGGAAGCTGAGAGCTGAGGATCAGGGTTCAAAGCCAGCCCTTATCTCTAATGAATCAGCAAAAACGCCAGAAGTGGAGCTGTGGCTCAAGGGGTAGAGCAAAACAGCAAAGGTACAGCAGCCAGGCCCTGAGTTTAAGCCCCAGTACTTGCACACATACACAAATATTCCAAGTGCCACTGCCATTCCGATCCATTGGACAGTGCTCCACTGATCCCATCAAGTGCTAGATTCTGCTTGGACACTGACCTTACTCAAGGAAACAAAGCATCAAGAACCATATGTAGGAAGTGGCGCTGTGGCTCAAGTGGTAGAGCGCTAGCCTTGAGCTGAAGAGCTGAGGGACAGTGCCCAGGCCCAGAGTTCAAGCCCCATGACCGACAAAAAAAGAACCATATGTAGGGGCTGGTAAGATAGTTCAGTGGTAGAGTGCTTGCCTTGCATGCATGAGGCCCTAGGTTTGATTCCTCAGCACCACATAAGCAGAAAAAGCCAGAAGTGGCGCTGTGGCTTAAGTGGTAGAACGCTAGCCTTGAGAAAAAGAAACTCAGGGACAGCACCCATGCCCTGAGTTCAAGCCCCAGGACTAGCAAAAGATAAAGAAAATTGTAATAATAGCTCCAGTCTTTACAAAGTTGAGTGCTGGCCAGGTAGTTTGTTCTGATTTAGTAACTTAACCCTGTTTTCAGAAACTCCACTCCTGATGCCAAATGGCCTCTTTGCTCTGTTTTCATACATGGAGATAAATACTCCCACCGTTCATCCTCATTCCCACTGATAGCCACCCATCCCCTAACAAAGCCTTTGTTACTTTTCTGTCATTCATTTCACTGCCTCTTCAGCTTCATGGCTGGAAATCTTCCTTCATACACATTCTGTGTTAGCCCCAACGTCTCTCCTGCCTCCCCATTCCCCCAAATTTTGATGTCAAGTTTTGTTTCAAGGGAAATCCTTTATTGTAATATCAGAAGGATAGCAAGAAGGATACTTGTAGTTGGTTTTCTATTGGATCAAAGGGGCCTTCAAAAAAGAAAAACAAAACATGTGCTTGAGCCAGATGCTGGTAGCTCATGCCTGTAATCCTAGCTACTCAGGAGACTGAGATCTGAAGATCATAATTCAAAGCCAACCTAGGCAGGAAAGTCTATGAGACTTATCTCCAATTAACCACCAGAAAACTGGAAGTAGTGCTTTAGCTCTAAGTGGTAGAGTGCTAGCTTTGAGCAAAAGAGTTCAGGGACAGTGCCCAGGCTATGAGTTCAAGTCTCATAACTGACAAAAATAATAATTAAAAACCCAAAACGTGCTTATAACAAAGGATTCTCAGTAACAGTGCTTTAACAATAGTTAACAAAAACTAAAAGTGTCCTAACAATGGTAACCCTTCTGTACAAACTCAATAAAATTATCTTTAACAGGCATATCTGTAACAGTACTTTAATAACATTTAACAGTGCTTTAACAATGCTTAACTCTGCCCATGTCCTCTGTAGGGATGGGTCCCTACTACATTTTTCCAAACTTGCCTGCTACCACCTCACAGATACCTAGGTGTCTGGGAAAGCAGAAATCTCACTGTTATACCTGCAGTTAATGTCAGGATGTTCCAAGTCATCGAAACAGTGGAACACATCTATCTTGTGATGGAGCGTACAAGGGCAGGAGAGTACCACACTCTGTGTATCCTACAGATGCTGGGCAGAAGGGCCTCATGGAACTGGTTGGGGTGACATGCATCTATTGGGAAGCTTAAATAAGAGGGGCATAGTCTAGGCCAGCCAGGTAAAACATAAGGCCCTATGTCAAAGATAAAAACCTTTAAGACCAAGCCCAAAAAAAAAAAAAAAAAAAAGGGCAAATAGGATTAGGGCATGGCTACTAGTAATCACAAGGCCCTGAGTTCAAACCCCACTACTGCAGTTGATAAATACTACTTGGGACTGGAGATGTGGCTCAGCAGTAGAGCAGCACCTGCTTCACAAGCATGGTCGGGCATCCTAGGTATTCCCTGGAGAACAAGGGTCAGCAATTTTGAACTGCTCACCAAGTTCATGGCGAGGCCTGGAACTTTCCTAGCAGCAAGGATATTGTGACTCCCAAAGGTAGACGGATGGAACCTAGATGTACGTTTCTGCAAGGAATGACTTTCCATTTCAACTGTCTCCAAAGGAGCAAAACATCAATTAGTTGCTAACTGTGGACGCCCAGGCTGAGGCCCATGCTGGGACACATTATGCGATACTCTGATGTGCTCAGAAAGGAACATTCATGGAGCTGGCCTATGGCATTGGGAGATACACTCCTCAACCACTCTCCCCAATCATGACTGGTTTGTATGTCAGACCTGAGTTATAATCCATGAGAGCTACGAATCCTTGCTAGAAAGAAAATTCAGTGAAACAGCATGCAGGACATTGCCTTCCTTTGACCCCCTTCACCATCTTGCCATCTGAATCTTAGCTGCCTGAAGACAGCAAGCAGTCAGGGCAGAAGGGTTGCAGAAGAGCCTCCCTGAATGCCATTCTCCTCTGCAGCTTGCAGGGGAGGATTCCTCCCCCTACCCCATTCCCACTTTCCCCGTCCCGCAGCCAGCATGGCTCTGTGGCTGCCTCCTGTCTCACCTACATGAGCAAATAATACAGGGAGCAGAAAGTCTTCCCAGGGCATGTCATCAGAAGAAAACTCCCTCCCCAGCCTGACTCATGACAGCAAACGGAGCTAGAAGGGGGTGGGGAGGCGAATAAGAGAATTAGTATGTGTATCCTAAGAATGTGTGACATCCCCCCAAATCTAGCAATCAAGTAGTTTCACTGAAAGGGGTGGACATATAAAACCATATATAACCAATAGAGAGACAACAGGATTCTGGACTCTGGGAATCACGACTTCATGGAGTGGATCCAGCCATGTGTGCTGTGTGCCTGGCACCTGAGGACCACAGCTAGCACAGGAAGGAAGGTTTGTCCATATGCGATTCCAGTCAACAGGGTTCATGTCACCACACTGTTTTTCCAAAGCATCCAATGCTGAAGGAGGTGAGCTGAAAAGCTGCCTGGAGACCAGAAACTTCCCTCCCCATCTCCTCACATGGGGGAAGTGTGTTTATCCTTGCATACTCCTCCTTTGCCCGGCTCTTCAGCACCCTTTTGTCCATGTTTCTGGGATAGCAGAGACTCTTCTTAGTTTCTTCTGTCTCTTATCATAAAATTCATTCAGTGCTGTAGGCCAGGAGACTGGCATGGCATGGCTGGGTTCTCTGTTCAGAGAACCCCAAAGCTAAAAAAAAAACCAAAGGTCTTGGCCAGCTTGAGTTCTTGTCTGCAGATTGGAGAAAAATCCACTTTCAGGGAATTTTGGTTGGTGGCAGAATTCAGTTCCTTGTGATTGTAGGACGGAGAACCTGACTTCCATGCTGGGTTTTAAGTGTGTAGGGGGGGGGCACTCAAGTTTCTAGAAACTTTCCACATTCCTCCTTACAGGGTTGGCCACCTCATCTTCAAACCAGCAATGACACATCAAATCATCCTAGTCCTTTTAATCTGACTTCCTGTGAAGCCTTCTTTGTCTCTTCCAGGGCTAATGGTCCTTCCCTCAGCCTCCAAGAGGCTGAGAGGGCAGGAGACAGAAAACAAAGCATCAAAAGCCAGAAGTGTCTCTAGGCCTCCGCTGGTCACCGTCTGTGAGTTCCTCTCAGACCGTTCAACTGCCAGGTCGGTTAACGAAAGAGGATGGAACTCGTCAACGGTTCAAACTCAGCCCAGACTTTTCTCCCTTAGAGCCTGGGTGCTGTCACCGAGCTCTTTTGCTCAAGGCCTAGCGCTTGCTTGCTCTCCCACTGGAGTCACAGCTCCACTTCCAACTTTGTGGTGATTAATTGGAGATCAGAGTCTCGTGGACTTTCCTGCCTGGGGCTGGCTTCGAACTGACATCTTCAGATTCAACCTCGGAGTAGCTAGGATCCAGCTGACTCGGTGCCAGAGCCGTTCAACCTAAGAAGGACTCACCATCTCCATCCCCCCCCAAATCAATAAGAACCCCAAGATCGATTCCCGTGAGTGGCGCCCGGGAAGCAAAGCGTGTGGGCGTGGCGAGCGTGGGCGGAAAACGTCTGAATGCCGCCCCCGCGGGACTCCGGTATTTCAGGCCCTACACCTTTAAGATCCGTCCCCACGACTTCCGAAAGGGGCGGGGCGACGCGCCGCAGCTGTCACCTCCTTGGCTCCTCCCCGCTGCCTTTCACGTGGGCTCCGCCGCGCAGTAACAGCCCTTCTTCCGGAACTTCTTGATCGTCGCGACCAATCAAATCGTTCTTCCTGTCCTTACCATTGTCAGTCGGCGGCCAATCGGCCCGCCTCTACTAACGCCCCTTAAAGGCGCCGCCGCCTCCTGAGGGGTGGGGGGGGGCGGCGGCGGGGGGGACCAATCCCTGGGTTCCGGCCCCCCATTCGCAGTATGGAGTCGTCCCGGGGGCGGCTGGGGTCCGGAGCAGACCTACTAGCTGTTGGGGAGCAGCAGCAGGCCGCGGTTTTCAGCAGCCGGCCGAGCCGGATGCCTTCCAAGCCGCCTTCAGTTCTGAGGGTGTCCGGGGAGGAAGAGGCCGAGAAGGCTGGGATCGTGAGCCGCCCCCCGCGAGCGACCCCGAAGGTCTCCCAGAGCGGCTCTGTCCAGCGGAGGCCCGAGGCTTGGCCGGACGAGCCCGGGCCCCGGGAGGCGCTGACTGGGACCGAGAACCGCCGAAGGGCGCCGGCTTCCGAGCATGGCGCGCCCCCGTCCTTGTGGCACCCAGATCCCGAGCCGCCTGAGGACGAGCCTGCCTCGGAGAGGGTCTGCCGTCGGGGGAGCCCGGGAGGCGTGGAGATGAACGCGGACGAGGAGG